TGCTCATGGGCTGTGAGAAGGGGCCCTGGGTAAGGAAGTCCCTGCTGTGCTAGCCATGTTACTGCACTCAGGTCCAAATCCCTTCAGGAGCTGCCAGCCTTCATTGCTCACTGACAAACAACCTAATATTCAGAAGATGGGAAGTATAGCTGCAATGAGAAGAGAGACAAGATGCAAAATCAAGTGTGACTCAATGAGGAATTCAGTGCAAATGTTAACTTTGCTTCCCCCAGCTACTAGCATGCACCTAGCTTTCAGCTACAGATACCCAGAGTCTTGGATAAAACCTTTTAAATGGTTGAAATAATCCAATTTGACTGTTGTTCTTTCCTTTGTGGTGCAATCTGAAGTATTTCACATATTACCTTACACAGGGCAAAGCACAAGCCCTCTGCCATTGCTGGCATCCTGTGCTGATTTTCTCTCCCCATTTTTTCCTGTAGTCCCACACTCAAGTCAGTTCAGAATCAGTCAGCTCCTTGGTATATGCAAGTGTCTCGGGTAGAAGTGAAATAAAACTCTTTCAGTCAGAATGCCTCCTGGAACATTCCTGGAACAAGGCTACGAAGCTCCAGCACCTACTCAGGAGATGATTTATTGTCATAGATGAAAGGAGGGCAATGCAAATCTCTTTACATTCTCGAATATTCTCCACCATTCTCAGGGACCTGAAAAAATACTGTCTCTAGTTTTTAAAAGACCATTTTATAGTTCCTTTAAAAAGGATAGTCTTGGCTAATGTAGTCAGAATGGGATAATAATGACAACTTGACATGGGCAAAAGCACTACATACAATTCAAAATGACAAATTGTCGAAAAGTATAATGGACAGCCAGGGGTGGTGTACCTGATGTGGAGACAAGACCATTACGTGTCTTGAAGTTTAAACTGGGCAGCCCTGCTGTGAAATGTGCTTGAAAGCCTCATTGCCTACTGGTTGCTAAGGAGCCTTTCAAAGTGGATGAGGGTAAATTAAGGAAAAGTGTTAATTTAAACTAGAATTCCTGAATAACAACACAAGTAGACAGACCCTCAGATATGACTATCATCTCTAATACATCCATTAGTTCTCTCTTGCACTGCTGTTCTTTTGTTCTTGTCCCCAGTGGAATGTCACAGCACTGTTTACAGTGCCCAGTGCTGCCACTTTTGTGACTGGGACCTTGTGGAGGTGACTGAAGCTCTCAACCACTGCATTGGTCAAGGTACCAGGAAATTACCGAAGGTTGTACCGATTCTTGGTTTTGTAATCCATGTCGGATGGTGGCATGATTTTCCTGTCAACCCTTTCCACTTCATCTCTTTCTTAATCTAAGAACACATGTAAGACCACATTGTCTGCTTTAGACAGTGATCCTTGAAGATGCACGCTTATTTCTGTCATGAGTAGTAAGTGAGGATGACCACAATTAAACTTGAATACATGAATCCCTTTGAAGGGAGTGCTAGGGATGTGAAGAATCTCAGAAAATCAGACCTTGCAGCAGGCTGTTTAAACGTGACTGAAGGTGTTGTCTAGCTTTAGGCATATGTGTGGGAAAGGTGTGTGTTTCTGCTATGTCCTGAAAGTAGCATAAGTGGTTGAAAGAAGATTTCAAAATAGATCCCAAAGCTCTAGTTCCACCTGCTCTAATCAGTATTAAGAAGAATCTCCCTTTTCCTCTGTATTTGCAATTCATTTAAATTTTAATTCTTTTACAGGGCAAGACTGGGGCTATGGTGGCTGTTGGCAGCAGGGCTATCTGCAGGGTTGTACTTATACACCTGAAATAGAGCAGTTAAGTTTCTTGACTGGTATCAGCCTGAGCTGTTGATGAAACACTTCAGCACAGCCCAAAGCAAACCAAACCTTGTAAAGAATTTATGTGACTCTTAAACAGCTTATATTAATGTTAGGACATTTATATTTGGACTGATCTCTTCTATCTAGAGTTACAATAAGTTGCCTATAATAAAATGGGGTAAAAAATGGAACTTTCAAAGGATCACTGAAACGCTGATGAGGCTAAGTCACCCTGTGGAACAACTTCTTTCCATGAAGGGAAGAAAAGGGACCCTAGAGCAATGACATTCATAATGTGGCACTCTCAGTTACGTTTTGAGTTAGAGGGAGTGAATCCAGGTCTTAATGTGCAAGTGACATTTACTGTCTCCCCAACAGCAAAAGTCCTTTAAATAACAAATGCACATTTAGACTGGCTTGGATCTCTTAAAGCGAGAAGATGAGTTTAAAGACAAGCTTTTGGCTTTAATTTTTTTCTTCTTCTTCTGTCTCTGAAATCTGAAAGTAGAATTCTGGTCTTAATTTATAGGTTGGGTTCCCCCCGCCCCCCTGCTGATTGTTTTAGAAATGTTCATAGGACAAAGCATCTAAGCTTGTGACTGCCTGTCACCTTTCCCAAATCCTAAGTATTTATAGATGTTTGTCCCTGGAATGTGGATCTGGTTTCAGTCTCTTAATTTATTTTAGTGAACTCTGAGCACAGCAGACATTGGAGTTAATTTAGCAAGTAAGCATGTGGACAAGTGTGGGAAGAGCTTGTGTGCTGCTTTACTCTTCCAATGACATCAGTTCGTCTAATATCAGCTACTCCCTCTACTTTCAAGTCTCCTGAAAACATCACCATCACCAGAGTTGGACACATATCCAAAAGTGACAATCTCAGGGTATCTTTGATGGTTTAGCAGGAGCCCTAGAGGATTCAGTAGGAGATTTGTTTACAAGTTAGGGCATGAATGATGGTGCTTAGTCCCTTACAGAGGAAGCTTTTCATTGCTTCAGAGTCTTTAAGATGATGATGGGGGCTTAGTCTGTCCTCTGAGCAGTATCTGGACTCTGATATGGTAGAGTGGAGGAGGAGACATCTTTTCCAGCCTGAACAAACTGCTCCTGCAGGCCCAGGCTGCTGAGTCAGATGGTTAAAGGCATCTAATGGGGGAGTTGGAGTTGGTGGGTTGGAGGGCCCAGGGTGGGTGGTTGGGATGCTGGCCTCACCCATGCCATGTACGTGGAATTGCCTAGCCAACCCATGGAATGACTAGGTCGGATGAAATTGCTGTGCTGGAGTCCCTGCCACGCTGCACGCCCAGGCCCAAGGTGTAGCTTTGCCCGTTTGAAATGAAAGTGCATACCATTAGGGCAAAGTAGTTCTGGGTCTCCTTTGGCACTGGCTGGGGCAAAAGTTTTATGGCTCATTCTGTCAGGCTGGCACTTAGCTATGCAGGACATAGACTCACTTTGCTTTTGTGCTGCCTGCCTCTACCACAAATCCTCCTGCATGTCATGTAGCAAGTCATTTACAAGGCTGCAGATCTACAGTCTTGTCCTTCTGCTCCTGAGAAAGGGAGGTGAGCACTTCTCCCAGACGGGATGGTTCCCATGCGGCTGAAGACAGTATCGGGAGGGCTGGGGCATGCTGGGCTTTGCTGATGTAACGGGCTTCCTGCAATTGTCATGCAGATCTGGTTGGCTGTGAGCTGGCAGAGCGCCTCAGATACGCCTCCAACTCAGATGAGGTCATCCCTGCTTTTTTTTTTTTTTGTGGGCTGCTTCAGAAAGAGCCTGTGATGTCTGGACGTGTAAGGTCAGCGTGCTCATTCCCACCCACAGCAAATCGCTGGGTGCAGGAACCCCCTTTTACACCTGTCTCCCTCTCCGCCCCGCCCCCTCCCCCCCGCCGGCTGCACCGTTTCCGAGCATCATCACAGACCCTGCTCTCCCTTTAAAGAGGGAGGAGGAGCTAAAGGAAGATGAATTTACCGCAGTGGATTTTATAATTGACTCTCGCATCCAGGTCAGAGGGGAGTGTTTGCTGGCAAGACATTGCGGAAGCTGCCCGGGCCTAACACGAGTGTAAAGTAGCTCCAGGACCGAAGAAACTCCAGCTGCTGCCGCTGCCAGAAGTGAAACTCCACGCCCTGCCCAGTCGCTCCGTCCCTTCCCCGCCCTCCCACCGTGTGCCGTGCAAAGATGCATCCAGCCAGTAGAGGACGGGGTAGGCTCGGCTGTCAGTCAGTAGGGGCTGCCCGGCTCGGGACGAGCTGATCCCGAAATAAGGACTGATCCTGGCGGAGAGCAGAGCACGCGTAGCTGGGGGTGCCCAGTCCGGGCACCGCACCGTGCCTGGAAGCATTGTCCGCTCGGCATCTTCCTTCCTCTAACCCCGGTGCCGGGCAATCCCGCGCTATCTCCCGCGGAGAATTGCCCACTAACTTCGGCGCCGACGCCGGCTCTGCCCGCACGGCTGCGGGCAGGATGGGGGTTGCAGCATCCCCCCTCTGCCCTGGGGTCAGCCAGCCCCTTCC